CACGAGCATGCTTTGCCTTGGGAAAAGCCTGCGTTGTGTTTTCCCTGCTGGAAGCGTGCACAGGTGGCAGCAGAGCTCTGGGAGAAGGGCTTCCCTAAAAACAGCAGTGTTCCAGCTCCACTGGAGTTTTCCTCTTGCCTCGTTCCTCTTCCTCGCAGGTCTGTACAAGAAGTCTGGAAAGCTGGTGTTCCTGGGGCTGGATAACGCAGGGAAAACCACTCTGCTGCACATGCTCAAAGATGACAGGCTGGGTCAGCACGTCCCCACGCTACATCCCAGTAAGTCTCTCTGGGAAAAGCCTCCCGGCGCAGCTTTTCCTCTGGAACTTTGGGGACGTGGTGTTGGAAGGGCACCTTGGTGGCCTAAACTCTGCCCTTGGGGCTTTGAGGGTCTCAAAACCTCAGCTGAGTTTGCAGCTGCCCGAGCTGAATGGATTTGTGTTTTCCTCTGAAGGATAAAACACCCAGGAACTGTTGTGGTTCAATCAACAGGGTTTTGTCATGGGGAAGGAGAATTTTCCTGATGAAAAGCACAGTAAATGATAGTCGTTGCAGATGAAAAGGCTTCAGTGGGAGGCCGGAGAAATCCTTTTCTCCCGCTCATGATTTTATTGAACAGCTCTGTTTCAGTCACTGAATTCTGCAGGAAATCCAGGGAATTCCCTATTGGAGAAGCATATGTGATGCCAAGGCAAATCCCCAAGGAATTCTGTGACAGCTTGTTTATTTTCCTGAATCCCTGGCTTTTCCCTTTTTTCAGCATCAGAGGAGCTGACGATTGCTGGAATGACCTTCACGACTTTTGATCTTGGTGGACATGAACAAGGTAAGGAAAAACCACCAAAAATTTATACTGACAAGCATCAGCAATTAACAGTGCCTAATTATTCACTACCTGGGCTTATTTATGGAGCAATGCACGGAAAGAACCTCCTGTCTGTGGGATTGTTTGGAAGGAAGCACTACCAGTTCGTGCTCCGTTGTGCCTGAAGTATTTTTAGGTGTGGGGGACTCCAATATGAATTTATTTTGAAGTGCTGATCTTTCAGAGTTTCTAGAAGTTATTAAACAGGGGTTTCTGCCCTTTTCCCTTTTTTTTTTAATGCACAAAAAAAGCACAATGTTTTCATGGGGCTGTGTTTGTCCCTCTGTGTTCCAGCTCGCCGGGTCTGGAAGAACTACCTGCCTGCCATCAACGGGATTGTCTTCCTGGTGGACTGTGCAGATCACTCACGGCTTATGGAATCCAAAGTTGAGCTTAATGTAAATAATGCTTCTCTTTTTTTCCCCCCTTTCCCAAGACCCTGAATTACAAATAATAGTCCTTTTTTTGAGCTGGAACTTGTGCAAAGTGTGTTTTGAGAGTCTAATGCTTTGGATTGGCACTTCCAATGAGAAGCCTGGATGCCCTTACTCTGTGTGGAGCACAGGCTCCTGAGTTCAGGGGAGGTTTGGGTTGGGCATCAGGAGGAATTTCTTGCTGGAAAGGGTGGGCAGACACTGGAAGGGGCTGCCCAGGGATGTGGTGGAATCCCCATCCCTGGAGGTGTCCAAGGAACGACTGGACGTGGCACTCAGTGCTCTGGGCTGGGCACAGGTTGGACTCGGTGGGCTGGGAGGTCTTTTCCAACCTAAATGACTCTGTGAGTCCTCCCCAGGAGCATGGAATCACCAAAAAAACAGCCCTTGTTGGCCACAGAGCTTAAACAAAACCACCTTCTTCCAGCAACAGCTCTTTTTTTACTGCCTCTGCTCAACTCCTGCTCCCTCTTGCCCTTCAGGCCCTTATGACAGACGAGACAATATCCAACGTGCCAATCCTTATCCTGGGTAACAAAATCGACAGACCCGAGGCCATCAGTGAGGAGAAACTGCGGGAGATCTTTGGGCTCTATGGGCAGACCACGGGAAAGGTAGGGAGGCATCCAGGCCTTGGATATGGAGGTGAGGGCTCGCCTGTTTTCCTTGCAGAGTGAGGCTCCATCCAGAAACTCATTCAGCTCCCACTGGGAGTTTGTCCACAGGATTCTCTCAATAGTAATGATGATGGTTCCTTCCTGTGCCTGAAGGGGGCCTACAGGAAACATGCAGAGAGACTGTTTACCAGGGCCTGGAGTGACAGGACAAGGGGGAATGGCTTCCCACTGACACAGGGCAGGGTTAGATGGGATATTGGGAAGGAATTCTTCCCTGTGAGGGTGGGCAGGCCCTGGCATAGATTGCCCAGAGAAGCTGTGGCTGCCCCTGGATCCCTGGAAGTGTTTAAGGCCAGGCTGGTTGGGGCTTGGAGCAACCTGGGCTAGTGGAAGGTGCCCATGCCCATAGCAGGGAGGTGCACCAAGGTGGTCTTTAAGATCCCTTCCATCCCAAACCATTCCACGCTTGGACGCTGACGATGCCCTCGGGCAAGATCTGAAACTGCCAGAGCTGTACAAAACACAGGGGGCTGCAAGAGGGGCGTCCCTGGATGGTGGTGGCTCGCTGGGCACTTCCCTGAGGGCTCCAGGGGCGCGGCTCTGACTCCCGTTTGGATTTCCCCAGGGAAACGTGCCCCTGAAGGACCTGAACGCGCGCCCCATGGAGGTGTTCATGTGCAGCGTGCTCAAGAGGCAAGGCTACGGCGAGGGCTTCCGCTGGCTATCGCAGTACATTGACTGACACGAGAGTTCGGCTCCTCTGGACTGATCCCGTTCACAGCTTCCTATGGACTTTTCTATTAGAACGCGGAAGGCTTTCCAACCGCGCTGACCAAGAGACTCCTTGGTTTTCCGGCTGCCCTTATGGCACAGTGGTGACACCACTCTTTTCCACGCGGCGGGGGGAGGCAGCGCCGTTCCGCAGGAGTTGTCCCTGTCGGCTCAGTTGGCAGCGGTGCTGCTCCGGTCTGGGAAGTCAAAACTCTGCACGCTGCACCGTAACAGCTGAAAAAGAGAGCACGTCTCACCACTGTGGTTTCAATTGACTTCAAAAACAAAAAAACAGCAACAAAAAAAAAGAGAAAAAAAAAAAAAAAACGAAAAGGAAAAAGCAATTATATTTTTTAAAGGAAAAAGTGTTAATGTAAGCGGCGTCCCTCCTAACTTTTTAGTTTAACGTTCATCTTGTTTAGTCCAGAGTCTGGCTTAGGGTTTTTTAAAAAATATATTTAACGGTATTTAGGTATTTCACGAATTACTGAACCAAGGTATCACGATATTAGAAGTCCTCAATAAACATAGCATTTGGGCTTAACTGAGCTGTAGGGTGGCTGTGCTGTGTCACGCTGACCGACGACGACGTGCCGTTGGGACTGAGGTGTGCAATCCCAGCTTCTTTAGTTTACAGGGATTTTTATTCTTTTTTTTTTTTTTTTCCTAGTTGGAGAGGAGCACCCGGTGCAGGTTTTAGGGGGTGGTGTCCGGCGCTCACTGACAGTGGGAAGGGGCTGCCTGGTTCCCCCTCAGGCCAGACCCCCCCATTGAGGGTGTCGGGTCCTCTGTCTGCACCATTGCAGTGAGAACCACAAAGCTGTTTTGGTTGTTGTAGCATGGAGGTGTTTGACATTTGCATATCATGAGGTTATTAATGTAGACTAAACCGGTTCCTTTTATACTCTCGATGGACTTCTTTTGTCTGGACTTTCATTACTGTCTGGCACTCATTTTCAGTTCAATAAAGACGTGTCTTTCTCCTCCCAGGGGGCAGGAGCCTCAGTCTGGCCTGGCACTGGCTGGGCCCTGCTGTGGCGGTCGGAACAGCTGCTGCAGAGTTCCAGGAGGGTTTGGACAACGCTCTCAGGAACACGGCGGGATTCTTGGTGTGTCCTGTGCAGGGCCAGGAGCTGCACTCAGTGATCCTTGTGGGTCCCTTCCAACTCAGGGTATTCTATTTATTCTATATTTTCTATTACCTCTGTGGTGCAGCCACTGAGTGAAACTCGGGCAGGATGGAAGAGTCACCTCTGGTTGGTGGGTCACAGGGGCTTTGCTCTAGTGTAACAACCCCTTGCTGAGGCCCAGACCACCAGGAAGGGGCTGGGGGGGAGCTTCAGCTCAGGCTCCTGGTGTTTGGGGGGATTTTGTCTCTCCCAGGGTGGTTCTGCCGGTCCTGATACCTCTGTTGGTGGTGGCGGTGGAGGTCTGATGCTCGTTCCTGCTGCGAGTGAGCCCCCGGAGGAGATGCTGCCCTCGGGAAGGTGGAGAGCAAGCCTGGACATGGGGGTCCCTGGATACCGGGGACCTGGTGTTGCCGTGGGAAGCAGGGATCGAGGGGCAGTCCCGTGCTGGGTGTCCCGGTGTCAGTCCCGGGCCGGGGTCCCGGTGTCAGTCCCGGGCCGGGGGTCCCGGTGTCAATGCCGTGCCGGGGTCCCGGTGTCAGTCCCGGGCCGGGGTCCCGGTGTCAGTGCCATGCCGGGGTCCCAGTGTCAGTCCCGGTGTCGGTCCCGGTGTCAGTCCCGGGCCGGGGTCCCGGTGTCAGTGCCATGCCGGGGTCCCAGTGTCAGTCCCGGGCCAGGGTCCCGGTGTCAGTCCCGGGCCGGGGTCCTGGTGCCAATGCCGGGCCGGGGTCCCGGTGTCAGCCCCGGGCCGGGGTCCCGGTGTTGGTCCCGGTGTCAGTGCCGTGCCGGGGGTCCTGGTGTCAGTGCCGTGCCGGGGTCCCGGTGTCAGTCCCGTGCCGGGGGTCCCGGTGTCAGTCCCGTGCCGGGGTCCCGGTGTCAGTCCCGTGCCGGGGGTCCCGGTGTCAGTCCCGTGCCGGGGGTCCCGGTGTCAATGCCGGGCCAAGGTCCCGGTGTCAATGCCGGCCGGGGTCCCGGTGTCAGTGCCGTGCCGGGATCCCGGTGTCAATGCCGGGCCAAGGTCCCGGTGTCAGTCCCGGGCCGGGGGTCCCGCACCCCCCTGCCGGGTCCCTCGGGGGCGTGTCCGCCACGTGCGCGCCGCGCCGCAGCCAATGGGGAGGGCGCGGGGCTGCGTGGCGGCCAATGGGCGCGGGGGGCGGTGCGGGGGGCGGGGCTCGGCGGTGCCCGCGATGGCGGCGGCCCCGCCGTGCTGCGCCGTGCGGGTGCGGGGCGCGCCGGGGGCTGCGGGGCCCCGCGGCGGCTGCAGCGGGGTGGTGCTGAGCCGCCGGCCCGCGATCGTGCTCTGCCCTGCCGCCCCCTTCGCGCCCTTCCTGCGCGCCGGCCCCGCCGCCTGGGAGAGCCCCGCGGCGCTGGCGCCCAGCGCGCTGCGGCCGTGCCCGCGGCCCCGCGTGTTGGTGCCCGGGGAGCGGGGCGCGCCTTGGGAGCTCGGGGCGCGGCTGCTGGCGCTGGTGCCCTGCGCGCCCTTCCGCAGAGCGCTGGAGCGCGGCTTCGGGCCGGCCGAGCGGTGGCGGTTCGGGGCGGCGGCGGAGGATGAGGAGGGTGGCGGTGCGGACCCGCGGGCGCTGCCCTGGTTCGCCTGGCTGCGGGTGCCCGCGCTGGACGAGCCCGCGGGCGGGTGGGCGGCGCGGGGCAGCGCGGGCTGCCTGCGGAAGGGGCAGGCGCTGCTGGCCTGCGGGACCCCCTTCGGAGACCTGTGCCCCGAGCTGTTCCTGAACACGCTGAGCCGGGGGGTGGTCAGCAACCTGGCGGGCGAGGAGAACGCGCTGGTGCTCACGGACGCGCGCTGCCTGCCCGGCACCGAGGGCGGCGCCGCCTTCGTGCCCGCGCCCGGCGGGCCGCGCGTGGTGGCCGTGATCGCCGCGTCCCTGTGCTGGAAGGGCGCCGAGTGGGTCGGGCTCACGCTGCTCTGCTCGCTCGCCGCCATCCTGCGCGGCAGCGCCGCCGTGCTGGGCGAGGCCGCGGTCGCGGTGCCGCCCGTGCCCGCCTGGGTGGCAGCGGTGCCGGCGAGCAGCGGGCGGGACCCGCTGGGCTGGACGGCGCTGGTGGAGTGCGGCGCGACGTGGGGCTCCGGGGTGCTGCTGGCGCCGAGGATGCTCCTCACCTGCCGGCACGTGGTGATGGCCAGAACCCCGCTCCGTGTGACGCCGGCAGCTGGCCCTGGACGGTGAGCGCGGCCGCGCCTCGCCTCGTCCCCCTCCCCGGGCCTGCGAGTCCCCCCCTATGACATCTCGTCTGCCTTGTCCTCAGGGATGCCGCAGACCTCAGGGGACGCGTGGTGTTTGCCACCGAGGAGTCGTCCCCCTTTGACGTGGCCGTGGTGGAGCTGGAGGAGAGCGTGCCAGGCTTCCTCCCCCCGTGCCTGGCAGACACCTTCCTCCCAGGTAAACGACGGGGGGGGGACGCGGGGTGTAGCGGGGGGAAATTACCCCCTCTGCACCCACCTCCTGCCTCCCCCTTTCGCCCCCAGGAGAAGAGGTGAGCGTGGTGGGCTTCGGTGCCCTGGGGCGGGTGTGCGGCCCCTCGGTGACAGCGGGGATCCTCTCGGCCGTGGTGGCAGTGGAGGGGCAGCCGGTGATGCTGCAGACCACCTGCGCCGTGCACGGGGGCTCCAGCGGTGGCCCCCTCCTCTCCTCCCGCAGCGGGTGCCTCATGGGTGAGCCGGGGGTGCAGTGGGGAGGGGGTCCCGTGGCTGCCCCCTGGCCAGACCCGGTGACGTGGGCATCGTTCCTCTCCCTGCCAGGGATTGTGGCCAGCAACACCCGGGACAACAGTGCAGGGGCCACCTACCCCCACCTCAACTTCTGCATCCCCATCACGGTCCTGCAGCCCCTGGTGGTGCGGTACCGTCGCACCCGTGACCCCGGTGCCTTCGCCGGGCTCAACTGCGCGGCACAGGGGGTGCGGGCGGCCTGGAAGCTCCAGCAGCAGCCAGGACCCTCCAGCAAGCTCTGACCCCCCCATCCCAGGGGGCTTGTGCCGTGGACCGAGGTGCCAGGGGTGGAGCTGCTGCAGCCCCTTTTCACTGTGGGGCCCGAGCGCCTGGACCCCACAGAGCCGGTGGAGGGTGGGCATTCTGAGGCAAGGGACACCACACAGTGCCTTTGCCAGCTGCTGACAGGCCCAAATTGGGGAGATTTGGGGTTTGTATTGTTTTAGTTTCTCCCCTGAGCCATAAATGCTGTGAGTTGAGGCCCTGGTGTCCCGTGGTGCTGAGCGGCTGTGGGGGGTGGTGGTGGGGGTCTTGGCTGGGGTGTGGGTTGGACTAGGGGAAGAACAGGTTCTGCAAGGGATATTCTGGGTCAGGGGTATAGGACTGGGTCGGTGTTAGGGTTGGGGTCCAGGATAGGGAGGGCAGATGAGTCCTGCTGTGGCTCAGGACTCTGTGGGAGTGGGGATGAGGTTATTTTGGGTCCGGGGGTTCTGGTTAGGGTCAGGAACTGAAAACATGGGGCATATCCTTGGGGTCCTGGAGGCTGTCCAACACTGGAGTGGGAGCATATTCTTGGGGTCCTGGAGAGAGTCAGGAGCTGGAGTGGGGGCACAGCGCTGAGGAGGGAGGTCAGTTCCAGCACCACGTCAGCAGAGAGCCACTGCTCGTCCTGCGTGAAATTGCGGGGGCTCTCCCCCGCCGCCGGCGGGCGGGGCCGCGCGGAGGGGCCGGGCCGGGCCTGTCCTGTCCTGCAGCCCCCCGGGATGTCCCTTGCAGCAGCGCAAGGGGTGCGGGGAGCGCAGCAGGTGCAGCGAGCTGGGGCGGGACTGTGACCCGGGACAGTGTGCATAATCCCCCAAAACCCGCACCTAAATCGAGCCCAAAAGAACCCCAAAGCCCAGAGCCAAACGCGGCGGGATGGTGCTGGCCCCGCCCCCCTGCACGCACTGGCCCCGCCCCCTGGCCGCCCGGCCCCGCCCTGCCCGTCTCCAAGAACGCCGCTGTCCCCGCAGGCTCCGCCGCCGCTCCCCCTTCCCCTTGTCCCGGGAGAGCTCCCGGACGGGCCCGCGGAGCTCCCCCCGCCTTTCCCCGGCCCCAGCAGCGCCCGCCGGGGCTGCGGCGAGCGGAGGGGCCGGGCCAGGCCGGGTCGGGCGGGCAGAGCGGGTGGGGCGGGGCCGCAGGGACAGCGCGGGCTGCGATTGGACGGACGCGCTCGAGCGCTGATTGGGCCGCGACTGCCGGGCCTGCGCAGCCGCCGCTGTTTGTTCGTGAGGGCTGACTCTTTTCTTTTTTTTCCTTTTTTTCCCCTTTTTTAAAAATTTTTTTAATCCCATTCCGTGCCCCGGGAAAAATCCAGTCCGGGTTTTCCCCCATTCCGTACTCCGGGAAAAATCCAGTCCGGGTTTTCCCCCATTCCGTGCTCCGGGAAAAATCCAGTCCGGGTTTTCCCCCATTCCGTACTCCGGCAGAAATCCAGTCCGGGTTTTCCCCCATTCCGTACTCCGAGAAAAATCCAGTCCGGGTTTTCCCCCATTCCGTACTCCGGCAGAAATCCAGTCCGGGTTTTCCCCCATTCCGTACTCCGGCCAAAATCCAGTCCGGGTTTTCCCCATTCCGTACTCGAGAAAAATCCAGTCCGGGTTTTCCCCATTCCGTACTCCGGCAGAAATCCAGTCCGGGTTTTCCCCCATTCCGTACTCCGGGAAAAATCCAGTCCGGGTTTTCCCCCATTCCGTACTCCGGCAGAAATCCAGTCCGGGTTTTCCCCCATTCCGTACTCCGGCCGAAATCCAGTCCGGGTTTTCCTCCATTCCGTACTCCGGCTGAAATCCAGTCCGGGTTTTCCCCCATTCCGTACTCCGGGAAAAATCCAGTCCGGGTTTTCCCCCGCCCCCCCCCCCCCGCGTTTTCCCGGTCTCTCCCGGTGTTCCCGGAGGACGCGGCGGGACCGGCAGTCCCCGGAGCTGTGCGGGGCCCGGCGGGAGGAGCTGGGGGGCTGCGGTGGCGGTCGGGGCTCGGCTCGGGGCTCGGCTCGGCTCGGCTCGGGGCTCGGCTCGGGGCTCGGCTCGGCTCGGCTCCCGGGGCTGGCAGGGCTCGCTGGGGAGCGCTCGGTGCCCGTTCCGTGCGGGGTCTCATGGGGAGCTCCGCATTCCTCGGGGAATGACCCGTCCTGCGGCTTCTGGAGGGCTGAGCTGAGCTCAGGACAGCGCGGTGAAGTGAAAAATCTCCTCAGGTGCTGCTCTTGTGTAACTGTTTTCATTTTGAAAGCTGCAGAAAGAGTTTTAAAGCCTTTTAGTCACAATGCAAGAGCCAGAGCTGTCCATCTGGGAACGTTTCTGGTCTATTCTAGCGTGTGATGTATTTCAAGAAAACAAAACCAGGTATCAACGTCTCCCCATTTATCTGGTGATCCAAAAATGAACCAAATAATTTCAGCTCCGCAGCATCTTCAAAAACACACCTAAACCTTTTACTGGTGTTACTGGTACTAGTGTTACGTGATACTTGTGAAAATACTAAACTTTTTTGATGTGCGTGAACCGGTGTTTAGTGGCTCTTTCTGGAAGAGGTGCTGCTGGCTGGTGGCTTAGTGCTTTGGGAAGAGCTTTTTGGGCACAGGGGACACGTTGCATTTGAATTGCTTGGAAGGTTTGCAGATCTTGTGCCTGCTCGTTGAGGGCAGTGCTGTAGGGGTGGTGTGAGCCGTGCCTGGGCACCTGGCTTTGGAGCTCTTTGGCAACTGAGAGCTAAGGCTCAGGGCAGGGTAGAGGGGAATGAAAAGTGGAAGTTAAACTTGGTCTCAGGGTGGCTGTGAATTTTGGAGATGCTGGCATAGGTCGTTTTGTTTATTGGATCCAGCTCATAACAAATAGGGAGTGAGTTTGTGTTTCTAACAGCGCAACTTTTCCTACCGTGGACCACGGTTGATGTACTTGATAAGACACAGCAGTTCTTTTCCAAAGGGAGACCTGGTGGGATTTTCATTTCCAGACTACTTCTTACCCCTAGGAAACTGTTCCAAGTGAATCACACGCTATAACTGTCTGAAGAAATGTCTCCAATGTTATCCAAGCAATGACTGAGATGTCTTTCTTAAAGCTTTTAGGCTTGGTGAATAAAATCACAGTCCTCTTAATTGTTAAGATGTAATTACTGCAATATGGACACAAAAATCTTATATTTCCTGGGGGAAAGACCACTTGCATACCACTGTTGTAATGTCATCTGCTCCTTCCTCCTCTGGGGGTTCTCTCAGAAGCCTTTTGAATGAGTTTTAAAACAAGCAGTCCTTGTTTTGTTTTGTTTTCTTAAGAAAATAGCAGAAGGCAAAATAAAGTGTTTCTGAACTTCTGAACCCCGTTCTGTGCTTTTTGTTCATTCCTTTGCCTTAGAAATGAGATTCTTCAAACGTTCCAGTGTAACAGGGGCTCTGAGTGTCTTTGCTCCCGGAACTGTTGTTTCTGCGGGATGAAACCTCAGGATCTGCCAGAGCACAGGGAATTCCTTTTGCAACCTGAAGAAATCACCCTCTGCTTTCTGCACCGAACAAGAGGAAGATTGTGCCTTGAGCTGTCAGCAGACACTGGTGCCTGTCAGGGGCTGCACAGGGGGTGCCTTGGGAGGAGCAGGTGGCCAGGTAACATCTGTACCAGAAACCACCTGCTGGAATGACATAAAATAGTGAACTCTTCCAGAAGGGCATACAGCCCCGGGCTCTTGTTGTCCCATGAGTGGGACAAGTTTGTTGGGCCTTTGCATAACATAATTGTTCTCCCCAGTAGCCAGAGAGGTGGAGAAGTGGACAAGGAAGATGTATTTACGGGTTCTTGTATTTAAATAGGCCTTGGAAAATCATATCCCTGAGTCCTCTTTCAGTTCAAGCCACAAATCTTTTCTCTGGATTTACTGGAGAATTTAAGCTTGGCAGCACTTTGCAGTTTTGCTTTCACAGAGCAAAGGGGACTATTTCAAATAACGATCTTGTTGGCACTATAGGAGCTTTTTAATTACTAAGGTTTGGCTCTGTGATATTCTTTACAAACCTGTGGGAGAGGTGAAGGTGATTATGAGGTGCACACCAGTATTAAGTGCTGTATTACTCGTATGTAATGTTTATATTTCAGCTCCTCCTGTTTTGCATGCCTGCACATAATGCCTCAGGCTTGGAAGATGACATGTTTCAGCCTTTATTTTCATATCTGAGAAGAGAAGAGCAGTGAGAATAAATATGGGGTAGGTCTGGAAAGAGAAGATGAAGGGACTATCTGGGAAAAGAGGGATGGGTCAGGGTGCTGTTAGGACTAAAAAGGAGGGAAAGGATTCAGGTTGGATCCATGAGCACTGACCAAACCAGAGGCCAGCCCACACCTGGCTGCTGATAATGTGGAAGAGAATAATTGCTGTTCCACTGATGGGCACTGCCTCAGGTCTGCTGCTCTTCTGACCTCACGGGCGTGATCTCTGTTCTGTATCGCGGTTGTTGATGTAAGGGAGATCCAAACTTACGTCCACAGCTGGGTGATATTTGGACCTACATGGTCAGAAGCGTTACCAAGCAGGCTGCTCTTACTACTGATGGCATCTAAAGAAGTCCTGTAGGAAACAGTTGCTCCAGAAAAAAAAGAGCTGCCTTGGGCTTCTGCAAATCTGCTGCTCTGACATGGTGTGTGAGGATAGAGCCAGAACCAGGGAGGAGGAAATCAGAGCTTCAGTCGGGTGAGGGTAAATGATGTCTCCTCTTTCTCATTCAGCTGAGTTTCTGTGTTGAAACTTCTTGTTCTTAACTTCCTGAGGGTTGTCTGGTAAAGAGAGGGGGACGTAAGTTTCAGTTTGTCTTTCTCGGTTGCTTTTATGCACGGACACCACCGGAAGGCCAACTTGAAACCAGAACGAAACCTGTGAATGTGAGAAAAGAAATTCAGTGGGGAAATGATCTTTTTAATTGCACAGAGAATGAACAAACTCGTGACTCGGTTCTACCTGTGGATGACCATGGAAATAAAATAATTTCTATTGCAATCAAAGCAGTGAGGTGGAGAGCTAAATGTATAAAACCACAGAGGGGGGTGCAATAGGAGTTTATGATCAGATTTCCATATATTTTAAGTAAATATATAAGATCAGTGAAATGGCAGGCTGTCTGATGTGCTCAGTGGATGAGGCTGACCATGCTGGTAACAGCATTTGAGAGACACAGAGCACCTGAAGAAAATACCAGTTTTTACCCACTGGAAGCTTTTTTTTTTTAAAAAAAACATGAATAATTAAATGAGGAAGCCGTCTGCTTTCT